TATGGCTCTCCAGATTGGCACTCTGCAACACCTGCCCATCTGGGTATATATATGGTAGACACGGAAATAAATGTGGAGCGTTCTAGACTCCAGTGTGAATACTGGACCAACTCCTCTCAATTTATAAAAAGATTTTAGTGACTGTATCTTTCTATTATGTTTGGAAAAAATACTACCAATTTGTTTTTTGATAGAAATAATCTCTTGCATTTAGTGAGCAGTTTGTCTTAGTTAATAGATAAGAATTCTGCTCTATAGAGAAACCTGTGTCCTTTTCTTTTTCTAGTTAAATTTGTATTGGAGTATTCTGCTTTATAGAAATTTTTTACTCAATTTATCTATTATGTAAGTTACCAATGTGCCTTTGATATGAATATTTACTTATTATGGGCAAGTCTACAGTTTTATGAAAAGAATGATGCCTTAGTAACATGAGAATTCCTGCACTGACAGTCTTAAAGCAAACGATGTAGTAGCTACCTCAGAAAGGTTCTCTAGTTAAACATTGGGATAATGGCTTGCAGCATGTGCATGGAATGTCTTGCTGAGAAGATCTGCAGATTCTCTTAGCATAAACAAGTGAAAGGATTACTGCCAATCACTACGACACTGCCACATTGCCTCTGATCTCACTGTAATAAGTAATGCAGGAACCCCTTGTCTTTCAACAGCTCCTCTCACAAGCCAAAGATAATGAGTTAAGCTGATGGATGACGGTCGGCTGCTTATTTTGGGTTAAAATCTTTAGCTTTATGTGTAGAATCTTTGCTTAATATATTAAATAGGCTTTTATTATTTGAAGTTTTGATTTTACACTGTTCAATTGTATATGACAAATTACAATTACTATACAGTACAGAGCACCACTTGGTTTCCGAACCCCTTGGGGACGACACCCGTCAGTTAACATGTAAGTTCGTAAACGAGAAATAAAGAGAAAAAATAAACTAGAAATGTAAAAAAAAATTATGAAAAAAATTTATGGAAAACAACTCTAGGGGAAAAAAATCGACAGGTTCATAGTGGAAATGCGACCGTATTTTGTTTGTACTCACCAATAAGTGAAGTCCCGATCCGCTTATAAAAGTCCTTAATTGTTCTTAGCTGATTATTAAGACGTCTGGCAAACATCCTCTGGATGTTTCCTGCCAGCCAGTCTACCAGCCTCCCTCCCTGCCATTCTGCTAACGGGTCAAGTGTGTAAAATTCGGGAGTGAGCCGGTCTCTCCCCACCACCCCCACCACCGCTAAACCCATCCCCCTTACATCCCATACTCTCTCTTAAAGGTCACAGGGTTCAACCACGTGACTATCCCTGCCTCCCTGCTTGCCATCCAGCCTGCCTCCCTCTCTGCCTGCCATCCAGCCTGCCTCCCTCTCTACCTGCCATCCAGCCTGCCTCCCTCCACCTGCCATCCAGCCTGCCTCCCTCTGCCTGCCATCCAACCTGCCTCCCTCTCTGCCTGCCATCCAGCCTGCCTCCCTCTCTGCCTGCCATATCCAGTCTGCCTCCCTCTCTGCCTGCCATCCAGCCTGCCTCCCTCTCTGCCTGCCATCCAGCCTGTCTGCCTGCCTGCCTCTCTGCCTGCCAAAAATATACGATAATGTACATTTAAGAAACAAATCTGGGTCACAGGTTTGTCGAGTATGGTTAGGCTTACGAAGTTAGCCGGTCCCTCCCCCCACCACCAACACCCCCTCCAACCCATACACACACACTCTCTCTCTCAAAGGTCACGTGGTTCACCGCAACATCCATACATCCCTTCCTGCCTGCCTCCTTCCCAGTCTGTCTGCCTGCCAGCCAAAATAATAGGAATAATAGGCCGTGAATCTGTGAAGTCACAGTGGGCAAACTGGACCATCTCCCACCCACCACCACAGGCCGGCAAGACGCTTGGCGGAGACCCAGATAACTAAAGTTCGGAAACCAAGTGGTGCTCTGTATTTACATACCAAATATCTTTGCTAATGGTGACTTTTTTTTACCTGACCAACATATGACAAATATTATTTATCTAATTTGGTGAAAAAAATTCAACTCATTAAAATATTGATCTATTTACTACTAAGTTAGCACATGTAACAGGTATTAATATAGTTAAAGAAGATCTTCCTACATCTGCGCAGGTCCCTTTAACACCCAACAAAAACTGTATGTAAATGTTTGTTATTAGCCGTAATGTCCTTACATATTTTCAGAGTGCAATTAATTTGTATAAGATGTGTAACAACTCTAAATCTTGTAACTCATATTGAGATTTCTATATTACAACTAAAAGGTGATTTTCTTGGGGAGCCTCTTGTGGCTCTCGAAAGCTATATGATGAGATGGTACCATCTACTAGGTCACATCAGTCGTAGAGTTCTGTAGGCCTACTGGGGACCAGCGCCAGAATTTGGCCCCCACCACAGATGCACAGGGAATGATGACATTTGTATTCGTCACCTCACTGGGGATGAAGACAACCAGAATTTAGCGAGTCAAAACAACTACTGGATTCAAGAGACCAAAACCTGCCTGAAGAACTCCCTTATGTAAACATTTAAATTCTCTCGGAAGTAGTGTGAGCTCGTTTGCTTCACCTCCCTTACTAGTTTGAGGGGAAGGCAGCTCATAATACTACGTCATTAATGCAGTACATACTGGGTCACCTCTATTTTCTGCTGGCTCTGGTATTCTGTCTGTCCAGCTAAGTGGTGATGGTGTTTGCCATTAGTAGCATTTCCTGTACACTGCAGTGTAGTGCGAGCCATGTTTTCAGTGTGCTTGGAGCTGCAAGTGTTCAGGGTTTCCTTCCCTGTATGCTCCCAGTGCTGTCGCTGCATTGCCAGAGTTATCTTCTCTAAAGAGTCGCTTCCTTTGAGGTCCTCCTCGCTTGTGGTAGCCCTTTTCCAGGGCGAGTCAGGAGCCCTGTCTCAATTCAGGTCGGGTGTGACTTTGGCTGGCAGGCACATTTGTGGTTTCTGCACTTCTCTCAGCATGCTGAGGTCGGCCTTAACAGCTCAGCACATCATAAACAAAGGCCAAAGTTCATTCCATGCACCCATCAAACCCCTTATTTATAAATGAAAAACAGTTTTCACACAATTCACAACTGATGATGTCCAACCACTTCTGGAACAAGAGCTTTGCTTACGACTTTTGTTCGAACCACAACATTGTAAACCCACACACTACAAATACAAACAATCACCAACAGAACCTAAACACCTAGCCTAACCCATGCTTAAATATGCACAGTGTGATACTATATAATAATATTAATTTATATTTGAGAATTTCTATTTTGAATAAATAGCATGTTAAAATTGATGAATGTGTCTTTGGGGTCGACCGCTGGATGGAATGGACTTAGGTTGAGGACTGGTTGGTTTTGACTTGCTGACTTTCTGATTCTATTCTCCGGTGAGGTGGCAAATACAAATGTCACCACTTACAGAGCTGCTCCCTGCGCCTCTGCGAGCGGGCCAGGTTCTGGCACTGGTCCCCGGTAGGCCTACAGAGCTCAATGGCTGATGTGACCTTGTAGATGCTACCAGCTTAGCGCATAGCTTCAGAGAGTCAATGGGGCTCGCTCACACATTGGCATTTCATTCCATTAATTTTTTTATACAGTTTGTTTCCTGTATTTATGTGTGTATCCATACATGTATGTATACATACATCCATATATATACAGATAATATAGTTTTATTAATCACAAGAAAATAGAAATGAGAAATCAAGAGTGTTTGTGTATTAACATATTTCCTAGGAGTACAGTATAGATAGAGATAAAAAAAATGTGACAATATCCAGCACAGTAACAGTGGCACTCCACTACATGAAATTTCACTGCATGAAATCCTGATCTGAACAATTTAAATTTTTGTTAGCTGTTTAACACCAAATTTTTCACATAAGGCTCAAAGTAAAAATGAACCACTGAATTAGTTAAATGTGCTCAATGGCTTTCCCATGGCACTGACTATTTATCCTAATTATCTATGAAAAATTTCTTAAAACATGATCATAGCTATTAGTTAAAGAGGTTACCATTCATACCTTAATTTTTCCTATGCTCTTTGGGAGAACTTCATTTAGCAAAATTTTAATTTCAACTTATATGATGGGCAACTACCAGAATCACTTGACTGTAATATCTCTGTTATTGCCAGTATTTCTCAGGATTTAACCTCTAAAAACTTAATGTTTAAAGGTAGGATCATGACCCCCCCCCCCCCCCCCAAAAAAAAAAAAAAAAAAAAAATTGTAAATGCTCCAGGTCTATAGACACAAATAATATCGATGTAGTTTCATAACTATTTATAACACTTTGGCACTTGCATTGACTTAAACTCTGTCCACTAAACAATAATTTTTTCACAACGGCCTCCTCCTTAACTAGACTTTATTTTTCCAACATTCATAATTCATAGGAAGATTTTTTTGTTTTTTTTTGTCCATTGTTTAGAGGGATCTGTTATAAGTTGGTCCAGATTTTATAAGTGCCAGTGTATGCACAGCACATGAATAGATTAAGCATCATAAACGGTTGGCTGTAAGGGGTTACGAGACTAGAGCGGCCGGTAACATATAACTACTTGCACAATTCTAAAATTCAATTCTAAATAAAAAAATATTTATTCAGGTAAAGTACATACATACAAGGTGAAATACAAAATTTGATGGATTTATAGATAGAGCTAGTACATACAATGCCTAAAGCCACTATTACGCAAAGCTTTTCGGGCAGGAAAAACATTAAGACAAACTTAATACTAACTTAGATTAAAGTATAAATTGTGTTGAGAAAAAATCAGAAAAAAAATGGAAAAAATGGGGGGTGGGGGAATATGGCAAAAAAAAAAGCAAAAATACAATTTTGGTCAACAAACAGCATTGTTTAAAATCGTAGACATGGGTTGACATTTAGGGGTGAAGTAGGTTACATTGAGTTAATTAGGTGGTAATAATTTTCAGAAAATTATTAGTGAAATTTGTGATGTAAACATAATCCTATGACGGCACTGGAACCAATCATATTGGCGTTTGCCTTTCCATTGGAGACTTTCGGCACCAGGGAGAGGGGAAACCTGCTGCATGGGTAACAGCTTCTCCTCCATATCAACCTATCCTGGCTTTGTGCCCTGGAGAGGCCACTCCAGACCAACAACCAGAGTGCAACTCCATAGTCTCCTGTAACTGAGGGATGCCTACTACTACTACAGTACTAATTTATAGTCCTGGGATAATGTTTACCTCACAAATTTCACTACTAATTTTCTGAAAATTAATCCAGTCAATTGGATGATTTGAATTTCCTAAATGATTAACAGTGCTTTGAAACTCTCATCTCTCTGTATGCTGTATGTGCATACATACAGATTGTTCTTTTGCATTCCTCACACATCTTGCCAATCAAGCAAACTATCATCCAAAAATGCTATTGTACTTATACATGCTAAATTATGCCTATGATTTAATATTTAGACCTAAGACAGGTTAAATTTATCTGTTACACTTTTTGTTATGCCCTTTAGAATTCCAATAGCACAAAGCAAGCATTTTAGGTACAACAGTCCATATTTTATACATTTCATCCACAGTAGCATTTGGCTCTATTGTTGGAGGAGGAGGGGGGGGTCAATTATTAAGCTATCTTATTTATAGTCTTGGGCTAATATTTTTACTGTATTACAAGTTCGCTACTTTTAATACAAAAATGATATAATTATTTTTTCAATAAAAGATTAAAATTCTGTAATTTTTTAAGAATAAAAATTATGAACACGCTACTCTAGTTTTAAAGTTTCATAAAAACTTTAATGCCATTCATAAATTATTGTTATATTAATATTGCATTTTGGAATTTTAGTATCATAAAAACTTTGATACTGAAATAATTTAATATACCATTAAATATATCACCAAGTAACTACAGTATAATGGTTATGCTTACAAAATTCCTTGTAAATGTTTTAACATATTCTATGCTGGACAAACTAGTACATATTTCCACCAAAGAATAAGGCACCTATAAATAGACGTTCAGACAGCTGCTGAATGAGTCTTATCGCCTCTTATAGCCAACTGTTTATGATAATTGATCTGTTCATGTACCATGATTACTGTATGTACAGTATAGCCTCAGCTTATTCATTTCTATCTGTACAGCATTGTACTCCTCGAAAATGTTAACAGTTGCTCAGTTATTTTGTATATCTTTCATTATGCTTACTCATAAGTGAATCACATATTTTTGCAATTATTCTTGCATGATTGTGAATATATTATATATATATATATATAATATATAATATATATATATATATAATATCGTACCTAGTAGCCAGAATGCACTTCTCGGCCTACTATGCAACACCCGATTTGCCTAATAGGCCGAGATATTTTCTTTATTACAAAAAAATTGTTTCCAATTGGTGTATTTGAAATATTACTATTATATTATATTAAGAACATAATATATTGACTTAGTTATGTTAGTTTAGGTTAGGTTAAGATAGATTAGGTTAGGTAGGGTTGGTTAGGTTTGGTTATATATCTATGTTAGTTTTAAATTAAATTAAACAAAATGAACTCAAACATAATGAAATGAATAGCTTTACCATGTCATAAGAAAAAAATAGAAAATTATATAAATTCAGAAAAACTTGGCTTATTAGGCAAATCGGGCCTTGCACAATAGGCCGCGTATGACGTTCTGGCTACTAGGTACAACATACAATAGGGCCTCAACTTACAATGCTAATCCGTTCCCAGAGACGGATCGTAAGTCGAAGCGATTTTTCCCATAATAAAGGGATTTGAATTAATCCGTTCCCCACCTTCCAAAATATTAACAAATACATACAAATACACTTTATACTGAATACAATGTTTTTTCTAACTACAATACAGTACCTAAGTTGATTTTACCTTTATGGAGGGCTCTTGATGGCGTATGGAAGATGGTGATGAGGGGGGGAGGAGGAGACCTGTTACTGTTTGGAAGGGAAGTCCCCTTCCATTATCACATCGGGCAGTGATGTTTTCTCTGGGGTACTCTCTCTCCTACGTTTTGCCTGCATACCACTAGGCCCTGGTTGTGGTTCAGTGCTTGTTTGTCTCACTACAAATTTGTCAAGAGACATTTGTTTTTCCCTTCGTTTTAACATTTGTCTGTAATGATGCATCACAGTGTCATTGAATAGGTTAAGGCAACGGCCTACTGCACCTTGATTTGGGCGAGTCGTTTCAGCAAAAGTTTCCAATTCTTCCCATGCTTCACACATTTTTTTAATTGTTGAGGAAGAGACATTCTGTACTCTTGTTTCTGCTCTATGGTCATCCTTACATGGGTTTTCATATGTTGAGCCTTACCACTGACTTCCCTGGGACTCATTACGTGATATATAATAACTACTTTAATGTTCAAAATGGAAAAAATCACCACAAACGCGGAATTTCTTATAGGCGCGATCGTCACTAAGAGGGTAGCTGTAGTAAACTGAGGCAAGTCGGACCGCGTGACCGGGAACCATGCGCTCAGTCGACCCGAAAGTGTACCAACAAATATCGGAAGTCGACGACACCATCGGATGTCGAGTCACATTTTTCGATGAAATTTACATCGTAACTTGAAATTATCGTAAGTAGGGGCAATCGTAAGTCGAGGTGCCACTGTATATTATATTATATTATATTATATATATATATATATATATATATATATATATATATATATATATATATATATATATATATATATATATATATATATATATATATATATATATATATATATATATACATATACACATACACATACATATACACACACACACATGTATGTATGTATGCTATGTTTATTATTTATCCTCATCCTGGCTACTAGGAGGCCTGCAAGTATATATGTATACATACATAAATTTTCATTAGTCATGTTTTTAATGGAACTGATTTTTTGTTTATTACTAAAATAATGTCCTGGCTGAGAACCCAAATTTACTGACCTGTGATATGTCTTGTTTTGTACAGGAATAAACAATGTTGTTTGATGGTCATTTTTTCTTTTAATCCTTGTTTATATCACTTTCTGTTCTTTCTATAATTTTGATACAGTGTACAAATGATTCAAAACAAAAAGGTAGTAAAATATAATATTTTATGGTCTTTATGCTTCTTTAAAAGTTCTCATTGTGAACAGGCCCTCAATAGTTCCTTAGTGCATTGACTCTGATACCACACAACCATCCACAAAACTGCCATACATCTGGTCTTAACCATGGCTATTGAACCACGATCAGAATCTGGCATGCTCATCAAGACGAGAGGAGTGTGGTGGGATCGGAGATTAACTGAAAACTGTGTAAAATGCCCAAAAAGTACAGATGAGACAAATAATTTATAACAAATAACAAGTAATTATTATAAGTATAATAATTTAATAATAATTTATTATTTAAGTATAATAATTTAATAACAAATAATAAGACGAAACATCTGGGTACAAACGTGCCGGGCTACGCCGGGCAACTACCGGCTGGGAGGCGCTGAACTTCCGGGCTACACCGTGCAGACAAACCTGGCCATAGAATCTGAATCATAGACCTTAAGCTAATTGGCCGATAGTTTGACGCTAGTGATCTATCTCCTTTTTTTTAAATTTGTACCACATTAGCAACCTTCTATGACTCTGGCACTCTGCCTGACTAATGATTTATTAAACATACCCCAGCTGTGTTATGCAAGTTACCGACAATTAGCGAGATCAAACAGCTGTGTCACGCAGTGGAAGGTTAAGTGTTAATATTTTTTAAAATTTTTGTGGTATCCTGTGTTTAGGGAAGAATAATACATGTGAAGTAGTACACAATTTTTGTTAAGTTTATAAAACTTTGATTTCATACATGTAGCTTCATATTTAGTACTGCTTGTCATACAAGTTAATAAATCAACTACATCATTACTCCTCCAATACACTAGTCTAGATAAATACAACTTTATACATTCTATAAAAATATTGATGGATACCAGCTCCATTAACTTATGTCAATAAATACAAATAATTAAATACTTTACTTGAATATATAAAAATATATACTGTATGATCTTCCCAGCAGACATAGAACAAAACATCAATGTACTCAATTTTCCTAAATTATTATGGCAATAGAGAATTACTGCATTGTAATACAATTATCAGTAGGCAGTGGACACACTGCCTACTGATAAACTTATGAGCAAACTTCAGCTGCCAATGTCCAGCATCACTATTATAGTACATAGTTATATTTGCTTGATTTCTGCCATATTTAACTACAAATCAAAAGTAGGAGCAACACTGCTATAATATACTTAGTTCACTCGTTATATGTAAAGATCTTTGATAATCCATAACTTTATTCCTCAGGACTCCTTGGTAACCGTGAGAGAGGTAGCGGGTGACCCTTTGAAAACAGGATGCGGGCATAATTTGAAATATTGAAATAGTAGTGGGGTGTTGCAATGTCTACAGTGCCTAAAGTAGATAATTCAGGTGATTCTGTAGGACTCCAGTGGCCCAGAGAAATAGAAGGTGAAGGCAAGGTATTTGGGGATGATGGTGGTGATTGTGGTGGTGGTGATCGTGGTGGTGGTCGTGGTGATGGTGGTGGAGGAACAAGACCCAGACTTGGTGCAGACACGTGCGAGTGTGGCCGAGGGGGAAGGCGTGGACGACGCTGAGGGGGTATATTGGCCAATGGTGGACCTGGTCTGATGGGAAGCTGTCTGCGTTCTTCTCCAAATTCAGCTTCTACTTCTTCTGATTCATCCTCGAAGTAATCTTCATATTCTTTATCCTCCTCCTCCTACAAAACATCAGCCTATGAATATATTGAAATAACCTTCTCCGGAGGACAAAACCATAGCTCCTTGACCTAAAGCATTGGAGCTACCAAACCTTTAAAAACCACACCTGGTTTGTGACCAACTTAATGTTATTGGGAGCCAAGATCTGAATCCATCTTTGAGCAAGGGGGAACTTGGGGATCCAAACTTTACCCAAAACCAAAAAGAAACCTACCAGAACGGAAAAGCACATAAGAGCTTCTTAGCATAATTAGTAACCGAGATAAAAATACAGTGTAATTACCTAAGTGTAGTTACAGGATGAGAGCTACGCTCGTGGTGTCCCGTCTTCCCAGCACTCTTTGTCATATAACGCTTTGAAACTACTGACGGTCTTGGCCTCCACCACCTTCTCCCCTAACTTGTTCCAACCGTCTACCACTCTGTTTGCGAAAGTGAATTTTCTTATATTTCTTCGGCATCTGTGTTTAGCTAGTTTATATCTATGACCTCTTGTACTTAAAGTTCCAGGTCTCAGGAAATCTTCCCTATCGATTTTATCAATTCCTGTTACTATTTTGTATGTAGTGATCATATCACCTCTTTTTCTTCTGTCTTCTAGTTTTGGCATATTTAATGCCTCTAACCTCTCCTCGTAGCTCTTGCCCTTCAGTTCTGGGAGCCACTTAGTAGCATGTCTTTGCACCTTTTCCAGTTTGTTGATGTGCTTCTTAAGATATGGGCACCACACAACTGCTGCATATTCTAGCTTTGGCCTAACAAAAGTCGTGAACAATTTCTTTAGTATATCGCCATCCATGTATTTAAAAGCAATTCTGAAGTTAGAAAGCGTGGCATAGGCTCCTTGCATAATATTCTTTATGTGGTCCTCAGGTGATATTTTCTATCTAGAACCACCCCTAGATCTCTTTCTTTATCAGAATTCTTTAAAGATTTCTCACATAATATATAGGTTGTGTGAGGTCTATGTTCTATTCCACATTCCATAACATGGCATTTATTAACATTAAATTCCATTTGCCAAGTGGTGCTCCATATACATATTTTGTCCAGGTCATCTTGAAGGACATGACAATCATCTAAGTTTCTTATCCTTCTTATTATCTTAGCATCATCAGCAAACATGTTCATATAATTCTATACACCAACTGGTAGATCATTTATGTAGACAATAAACATCACTGATGCAAGAACTGAACCCTGTGGTACTCCACTTGTGACATTTCTCCAGTCCGATACATTGCCTCTGATCACAGCCCTCATTTTTCTATCAGTCAGAAAATTTTTCATCCATGTTAGAAGCGTACCTGTCACTCCTCCAATATTTTCCAGTTTCCAGAACAACCTCTTATGTGGAACTCTGTCGAAAGCCTTTTTTAGGTCCAGATAGATGCAGTCAACCCAACCATCTCTTTCCTGTAATATCTCTGTTGCTCGATCATAGAAACTAAGTAAATTCGATACACAGGATCTTCCAGATCGAAAACCATACTGTGTCTGATATTATATCATTTCTCTCTAGGTGTTCTACCCATTTAGTTTTGATTAGTTTTTCCAATACTTTCACTATTACACTTGTCAATGATACAGGTCTATAATTGAGGGGGTCTTCCCTGCTTCCACTTTTGTAGATTGGAACTGTTAGCCTTTTTCCACACATCAGCTACAACTCCTGTAAACAGGGATGTCTGAAATGTAGAATGTAATGAAACGCCAATTTCAGGAGGAGCCCCAGTGGGTTCCTGAAGCTATCTTCCTGAGATTGTTTCATACTAAAAGCTCTTATCAGTTGCAAATAATTCTGTTTGGCCTACCAAGGACCAAAGCCAGAATCTGGGCCCTAAATGAGAGGTGCAGAGAGAAGGTGACAACCTGCTACCTGTGGCAGTGAAGAACCACCACGACACAACAAATGATGCACCCCCAGCCAAACCATGGCCCCCTCAAATGGCCCCCTCAGGAAGCTTGCTTACTCATTCTTTGTAAATGTATTTGGAACTTCAAATGTTCCAAATGTATTTGGAACCGAGCGCAAAAAATGTGCAAAAATATATTCGCGGCAACTCGCGCGCCCCACCGGCCCCGGGAGCATACTGCTCTGGCGCACGGGGAATTATGACGTCACGGCCCACCTTTCGGACCCCATAGCAGCCAAAGTAAGTACAATTTCGAACTTGCGTTGCTATACCCATATACAGGGAGGGGTTTTTGACACTTTCCGAAGAAAAAATAATTTTTTCCCAAGGTTTCATTTCCTGCGCACTGGGGGGATGTCATATTTATAGGCCTCACAGTTAAAGGGTTAAAAGGTAGAATTCTTTTCTGAATGTAAGTCGTCATTATATTTTGATAGTAGAAAAGTGGCATTGCTATGCATCTTGAGAGCAGATAGAATAACTGTGGAACAAACTGTAAATCGCACCTGATTGAGTCGTGGTCGTCTTTGTTTAGGCATGGTAAACAGATCCTGAGGGAGATCATAACACTTGCACACACAGCACGAGGGGAACCGGAACCAATCACTGAAAGAAAAATATTTCATTACAATACAACAATAAACAGCAAATATAAAACTTCCTTCAAAGACCATGTATTATAATAAATATCCAAATCCTTATCCTGACCCCTTCCAAGTCCTATATAATCTTAATAGCTTGGTGCTTTCCTCTGATAATTCCCCTATAACAAATACCTGCATGTACTACAAGTGAACATAAGAATGAAGGTAACTGCAGAAAGCAGTTAGAACGTCATGCTCATTTGCTCGTTTCTTTTAGGCGAGTTCTATGCACTTGTTCGGATTTTGGTAGCAAACTTTTCACCAGAATAAGGGTTTGTTTTGGGATGCTTACCTTTCCGGGTGCCTAAACTGGTCACTGGCAGATATAGAATGCTTCCAACCACATGGGGGTTTCAATAGGCCATTGCTCCCCATGCCTCTCTGAGGGGGGGCCAGGTTCTGGCTCGTGGTCCCCGGTAGGCCCACAGAACTCCATACATATGACTGATGCCAAAGTCTGACATTAGCATATCAGCCTAGTAAGCTCCAGAGAGCCGAAGGGACTCCCCCAGAAAACAGACTTACTAGTGAGAGGATCACCACAAACGAGGAAGTCATCTCAGGAAACAAACCCTGAACATTCCAGGGAAGCATGCCCTGATAGCTCTAGGGAGCACTCAGGAAAGAAAACCCTGTGCACATGCAGCTCCAAGCACACTATACTCCAGGCACACACAGCACAAACAAGTGTTGGAACAGCCACAAAGACAAAAAGCCCCAACTTAGCTGAAGCAGAACATGAAAGCCAGAGCAAAAAAAGAGGGCACTACACACTGTCTACCATCAGCAGGAACTGAGGATGGGGCAACCAACTGATCCATTCTGCATCCCTCCTCCCCCCTAAACAAGGAGGGGAAGGGTTGGAGGGTGGAGGGTAAATGAGTTAGTGCTAGTTTCATAAATTTTCTATTGTTTGTTTACATTGCTGGGGGGGGGGGCGGAGTTCCTTTGGCGAGTTTAAGGCATCGATATTTCCTTATATCCAACAGTAGTCTGTTTTGTCTCGCTGACTTTGTGGGCGCTTTCCTCGATGGTGGTGGACATAATTAAAAATCACTGACAATTTTATCATAGTGCCACTGCTCTCCATGCCACTTTAGAGGGGACCAGGTTCTGGCTCATGGTCATCAGTAGGCCTGAAAGGACTCTGCGACTGATGGCATCTAGTAGTTTGGCACTGTATCAGCATTATAGCTTCAAAAAGCCACAAGGGGCTTTCCCCAGAAAAGACAAATTATGATTAAATACAAAATGAACAGTGTTGCTATTTAAAAATTCTAAATAAAATTTGTAAGAAAAGTGTATTAAAATACTGTACAGAACTGCATACCTGAATATTCCACGGCATTCATTGGTGGGGTCAAATGCCAGCAATTTGTGAAGGCGATACTGCTGCTCACACCGACACCCGGCACGGCAGTACATCTGACGGTGCTCATACCTACAGTAAACTTACTACTTACTTACTGTACTTCTTACACTAAGTATAAAATTATATGAACAGTGCATTATAGAAAAATACAAGTTTTACACTGAGGAGCATCAAGCAATCTTCACAATAAGGTTGAATAAAGGGAAAGCGTCCAATTCCTGCTAATTTTCATGGCCCTTTAAAAGAACTGATTACTGTCAGATTTAATCTAGAGTATAAAATTTATTCTGAAAACAATCTACAGCACATGGTAATGTGTCATATTCTACGGCTCTCTGCCTCCTACATTTCTAGACTAGTTAACCTCAATACCTCTTGTACTTTTAGAATATATTGGGTTCTATCTTCCAAGATCTTTATAGAGCAGGAACCAGCAATCTTTTCATAATACTATTTTTAACAGAGTATGAACATACTAATCCTTTGCATTTTAATTGTTTTAGTAATAATTAAAATATGAATGTTAATATATTGGGTGTATAGGGTTATACATCAAATATATAACAATGAATGCTAGTATATTAGGTGAAAAGAGCAGAATTGAAAGTAATGAAAGACCCCTTTCTGGGCGAGTTCCGGTTGCTCCCTGGAGCTATGTTGCCAATAAAGCTTCCCGGTACTTAGCCACATCAGTCATAGGAGTCTTGTTGGCCTACTGGAGGCCAGAGCCAGAATCTGGCCCTCCTCAAAAAAGCACAGGGAGCAGGGCATTGTTACAATCAGCCCTCACCCAAGAAGACCCCCAGGAAGCGGAATGAGATAATGCAGACAACTACTTAGTTGATGAAAATTAAGTACACTGTACTGAAATGGTGAACAGATACTGCAAAAGAATCAATTAAAATGAAATGGCTCATATGAATCTGGGTATGAAACATCCATCCCAGAGCCAAGCTCACTGGTGGCCAAGCCACCAGAGAGCTGGTCAAACCAGCGTCCTGCAGCCAGTTGCCCATCATTCTGAAGTGATGGGCAACAAACAGATACACCTGGTAGGGGGGTTCATACAGAATGGAACACTTCATTACATTTAATGCTGGTTTTCTGGGGAAAGCCCCTTAGTGGTTCCCAGAAGCTAACTAGCAACAGAGAAGGAAAATATTCTTACCAAGAAAGATAAGAGGAGGATGCTGCACCAGGGAAGAGCTGGTACAGCCACCACCAGTTACCTGAAGCACCAGTCCTGGGAAACAAGCCCAAATGCAGCCCATCCTCCCATTTAGATAGTACTTTTAGTAACTATGTGCACCATAGTACAAACATTAACATACTAAGCAATTATATAGTAGAATTTTGTACTATTCACTTTCTCCTCTTCTTCGCAATACGTGCAGCTTGCATGAAGGTATATCCTCCCGATGACTGCACGAGTGGTAATGTAGAAAGATGCGTATATGACAATGCACAACAACACATCAGCGGTCACGACGTGCCAAGTCAAGAAAATAATGACACTGTCAAGATGGGCGAGGATAAAGGCAAAATAAACAAGAGGAAAAGAACGTAAGATGGGAATAAAGAAAACAGAAGGCGAACGCAAAGCGTCACCGCAGCAAAGAAAGCGAGGGACGAAGGCAAGAGACGAAGGGCAGGGGGTAAAAGATGTGAAGGAGGCAAGTGCGAATGTGTAGAAGGGTAGAGGAAGGTAAGATGGGACAGGCGAAGTTAGGACAGGGCAAGGTACGTAGATCGCAGCCGGAGCCAGAGAGCAGGCAGTCCCCTGCTCTCTGTGCCTCTTCAAGGTGGGGTCCAGGTTCTGGCTCTAGCTTCCAGTAGGCCAACAAGGCTCCTATGACTGATGTGGCAAAATACTGAGAATCTACATTGGTGACATAGCTTCAGGGAGCCACCAGAAATAAAGAACTGGAAATATTTCCTATTTCTTATTGGTTTTCATATCCATGGAAAAACCCCAGTGTTGAATGTAATGAAACGCCATTTTCTGGGTGAGCTACAGAGGCTTCCTGGAGCAATCAGAATGATATTAGCTATAATAGTCTGATGCTTCAGTCATACAAAGTTCTTGCCTACAGGAAACCACGAGCCAGAACCTGGTTTCCCTCAGAGAGGTGCAGGAGAGCAATGGCCTATGAAAACTCCACTCTGAGAGCATATTATGTCTACCATCGATCGTTAGGCACCTAGAAAGGTAGGCATCCCAAAACAGACCCCAACTGGTAGAAAATTGCAACCCAAGACTGAACAGAGCTCAAGAAACCCCCCCCCCTCCCCCAAGAAAAACTAAGTAACAAGCAAATCGTCATCAACCCGACACACCGCTCGGTAGTGTAGCCCTCCCCCCCCCCAGGAGGGGGACTGGGAGGTCCCCGACAATCCTTAATTGCAGCCTCTGTTTACCCAACAGTAAAATGGGTATCTGGTTGTTAAATGGGGTCATATTCCAGGAAACAGGATTAAGGACTTGCCAAAAATGCTATTGGTGATAGTGACTGTACAAGAATGTAAGATCTCTTGTATATATAATATAAATACGAATACAAAATACAAACACACACTACCCAAGGCCACACAAAAGCACCAAGAGCACTGCTGACCCCAAGGGCAAGGCTGATGTCAAGTAGCAGCAACCCCTACGAGAGTGAGAACCCGAAAGCTCCAGGAAAGATAACCCTGAGGCCCAAGGAATGTACTTACAGGGCGTCTAGGGAAGATAACCCTAAGCGCATGCAGCCCGAACTACTGGTACTCCTGGCCAATGCCCAAACACACATTGCAGGTGTGCCACTAGTGGCAAAATCCTGACAGGAAATGACAGCCAAAGTAGACTTCAGCTCCAGCCACCTTCAATCGACGAACTGATGGTCTAGCAGCCGGCTCGGTAAGGAGGGGGCCTCCCCCTCCTCGGGTAGGGAGGGGTGTCTGCGCGAACAAGCGGCTCGTCGTGTTGATGACGATTTGCTTGTTACCTTGTTTTTCTTGGGGGGAGTTCTTGGGCACTGTTCGGTCATGGGTTGCACTTTTCTACTAGTTGGGGTCTGTTTTGGGGGTGCCTACCTTTCTGGGTGCCTAGCCCCCAGTCTATGGCAGACATTAATACTCTCTCAAAGAGTGGAGTTTTCATAGAACATTGCTCCCTGCTCCTCTCTGAGAGAACCAGGTTCTAGCTCATGGTTCTCAGTAGGCAAGAACTTCCTATGACTGACGCCCCAGACTAACAGCCAATATCAGTCCTATAGCTCTAGGCGGCCAAAGGGGCTCCCCTTGGAAAAGTTAGTTTCCTTAGAAAGTCTTTTGAAAAAGTTTCCACTATGTATCTGAAGCATTCTAATTAGTAAACAATGTAGGTTAAATTTCTCTTTTTAATTACCTGATATGGTTAACTTTCCTTGCAGGACAGTCAACACGATTTTGTGACAAATCTTTACCTTTGCTTAATTTATAAAATAATTGGCAATAATTAGGAGATAGGAGGAATGCCCCAGCAACATCAGGTTGATAGAATGTTTACTATTACAAATAAAAACACTGACTACGCACATGCAGCGCTCCCACTGGACATATTGCTCAAAAGGGTACAGGTTGAGTAAGGCAAGAGTCTCGCCACGAGTGTTGTTGGCCCAGTATGGTGCGACAAACTCTTCTTTAACAGGACAAGCATTTCTGTTGGGTAATACACTTATGTCATTTATGTGTGAAGATAACTGCAAGAATACATATAGAACATTTTTTTTTAGTAACAGTGAAGTGATGCCAGCATTATACTAATTACAGAGCTTTTTGTCAAGGTTGACAACTGGCCAACTGACATGTATTTAAATTTAGGTTAAATAACAATTTATATCTAGAATCAGAGTTAACTAAACTGGCATTTAATATATAAATGATTTTGACAACAATAAAATGAAAAAATTAAATGAGTTGTGTTGAATGCCATCCAAAATATCTGTCAGAGAAGTCAGAGAAGGTAAGTGACTAGTGTAGTGTAATGATCCAGTGGGACACAGTATCCAAGAGTAATGTTAAAAGTAACATCCTGGGAGAGGGATGGTATCAGGGAGCCTCTGGGGCTCACCCAGAAATTGGCATTTCATTACATTCAACCCTGGTTTTCTGGGTGGCCTTGAGGGCGGCCGCTGATCAGCTGACTCTGAGTAGCTACGTCTTTGTGCCTTTACTCACCATACAAGCTTAGATGTACAGTTATGGTGATTAAAACATGTAAATACGTATATATAACGTCTGTGTATAGTGAATAAATGCAAAAACAGTATTGTGGGAGGAGAATAAGGGCGAGTGAGGTGGTGTTGAGGGAGGGAGTGGCAGTGAGTGGCTTGCTGGTGTGTGGCGGTCGCTCCTCGTTGCTTTTTGACTCACAAGACCAACTTAGTAGTTCGTGATGGTGAACAAAACATGCAGATACTTATATATAACCTGTGTATATAGTGTAACAAGAGCAAAACTATTTGTTTATAGTTTTATAAACATAATAATTGAATCACTAATATGCACACCATAATTTTGAGTACAGCGATGGTTCACACATTTTATTATATAAATATACAGTACCACAATTCACTGTATGGAATAATATTACTGCAAAAAACTAAGAAAAAATCAATCAGAGACATTGAAATAATTAGGTAATACTGTAATATATTTGTGGCAACTGCCGTCTGACAGCTCGGGTGGAGTAGACCTCATCTGGCGAAGGCTCTGCCAACGCCCCTTTTTGCCACACTTCCCTATCCTATTGCGGCTAAAATATGCCACCTACGATTTTTTGTTATTTTTTCCGTGATCAGGGAACAAAGATGAACGCTTCTATAAGAAGAAAGAATTTTTTTTATTTTTTTTTTTGTTGCGCCTGTGGGTGTGAATTCCATTTGGGCCCCTAGCGGTTTGAGGGTTAAACATCATGTACTTCCTCTTGAACTTCATGTACCTCCCCTTGAACCTGATGTATCTCTGTCCCCTTGAATCTCGTGTACCTCCCCTTGAACCCTGTGAACCTCAAATACCTTCCCTTGAAATCTGTGCACCTTCCCCTGAACCTCATGAATCTCTCCTTGAACCCCATGTATCTCTGCTTCAGTTTCATGTTATTCATCACTTCTTACACAGTACTGTACTCACATTCCACGAATTGGCCTCTTCATCTTGAAAGGCTCTGATGGTGGTTCAGTCTTGACCTCTTCTCTTACATTCCCTTCAACCGTCAACTCATCAACGACCTGTTCACGCACTTCAACCTTTAAATTTCCACTTTCTGTAACCACTGCTCCTTTATCCAACATACTTGCTGCTTCTTCAGTATGTTTTCCACCGACATCTTCACAGAGTGCTGCCTCAATTCCAAGGTCAATCTCATCTTTTGTGAAATCAGCTTCTTTGTTGTTACTCTTCATATCCTGGACAACCCTATCACTAAGTGTAAGTGTTGTCAAATCATCCTGGTCCAGTGGAGTGGATATGAATCCCTCACTAAACTGGCCATCATCACTTTCCAGGTTATCAAACAGCAAGTCTGAACGTGAGGTTGAGGGTTCTAAGGTAGATGTCTGTAAAAAAAAAAAAAAAAAAAAAAAAAAAAATTAGATTTTCATGAGTACTGCATTTCCCATTAAGCATATTTAAAACACAAAAACCGCAGGCATGAGGGCTTTCCTCTTAGTATGGGCAAATCCACTCAAAGATTTTGTCAACATATACTACCATAACATAAATAATTTCATCACATTTACTTCTTTTTTTTTTTAATAGTGACAAAACCATAAAATTTATGGACCAGATAAAGTGGTGATTGGTTGGTTTAATATTTACAAAACTGTATTAAGACCTTGAAACTGTTCCATACAGCATAATGGTATAGAATGAGAGATTTGGGGGGTCCAACAATATTCATACAGTTAATTGGCCAATAGCATACAGTAAATCATATACTACAGTAGAATATAGTACTGTATCAAATATTGGAAAAATAATAAACATTAATATTTCTAGCTCACCCTATACTGAAATTAAAACACTGATAGATGAGCAAAATAAAAATCATACTTGTATGTAATGAAATGCCTCTTTCTGGTGGGCCACTCAGAAACTTTCTGATGCTAAACCCTGGTAATGATCAAGCCTTGTGGAACATCCCAGGCCTTTGAGATCCATAAACACTTATGGGAAGAGAGCTCGGATGTGGGTAGAGAGCATAGAACTCGGTTGTGGAGTGAGAGGGTAGAGATTGAATGCAGTGAGAGCATGCAGCTCCAATGCAGGGCAAGTGCATGGAGCTGGAATGTGGGCAGGGTTGGAGAGTTTGAATGTGGGGCGAGAGCGGTTACCTCGATCTGCGAGTCTGCTCTGTTAGTCTGCAGCATCTTGACTTGTAGTATGTTACATTGTTGCAAGTAAGCAAGTCCAGTGATTGCTGCGATTATTTAATTTGCCAATCTGGAGAGACATTAACCCATGGGCTGCTCTTGTGATTATTGCCTGCAACACGCCCAGGTGCAAGAAATAATAAAAAAATCCTCTTACAAAAGTGGTCATTTGTGTTCTCTGACCACAGGGGAAAGAAAATCATAGGTGACGTATCGAAAATCACATTTTGGCTGAAATAGGGCGAGGAAGTATGGCAAAATTAAGGTGTTGACAGAGCAATCATCCGAGGCAGTCAGTTTCACTAGAGCTGTCAGGCAGGAGTTGCCACAAAGATATTATTACCTAATTATTTCAATGTCTGATTTTTCCTTAGTTTTTTGCCAATAATATTATTCAATAGTGTGTAGTGTGATATATTTATATAATAAAATGTGTGAATCATCGCTATACTTAAAATTGTGGTGTGCATATTAGTGATTCAATAAATTATGTTCATAAAACAATAAACAAATATTTCTGCTGTTATTACACTACACATACACAGGTTATGTATAAGTATCTGCATGTTTTGTTCACCATAACAAACCACTAAGTTGGTATGGTGTCATACCAATGATGAGTGGCTGCCACACACCAGCCAGCAAATGCCACCTCCTTCCCTCCCTCACTTCACCTCACTCGCTAACACTCCTCCCACCATACTAATTTTGCTTTTATTTACCTTATACAGACATTATATATAAGTATCTACATGTTTTATTTCCATAACTGTACAACCAAGTTGGTATGGTGAGTTCAGACAGCAATAGAGGTTGTCACACACAGTCAGCTGAAGCTGCCTCCCTCCCTCACTAAGATTCCTCCTCCACCATATTGTTTGTGCTGTTATTACACTATATGCTCACATTATATACAAGTATCTACATTTGTAATTACCTAAGTGTAGTTACAGGATGAGAGCTACGCTCATGGTGTCCCATCTTCCCCAGCACCCTTTGTCACAACGCTTTGAAATTACTGACGGTTTTGCCTCCACCACCTTCTCACCTAACTTGTTCCAACCATCTACCACTGTTTACAAAAGTGAAATTTTTTGTATTTCTGGCAGCTTTGTTTCGCTAGTTGAAATCTATGACCACTTGTTCTTGAAGTTCCGGTTCTCAGGAATTCTTCCCTATCAATTTTATCGATTCCTGTTACTATTTTGTACGTAGTGATCATACGCCACTTTTTCTTCTATCTTCTACTTTTTGCATATTTAATGCCTCTAACCTCTTCTTGTAGCTCTTGTCCTTCAGTTCTGGGAGCCACTTAGCGGCATGTCTTTGCACCTTTTCCAGTTTGATGATGTGCTTCTTAAGATATGAGCACCATACAACCGCTGCATATTCCAGCTTTGGTCTAACAAAAGTTGTGAACAATTTCTTTAGTATTTTGCCATCCATGTATTTAAAAACAATTCTAAACTCAGAAAGGGTATCTTGAGGTTATCTTGAGATGATTTCGGGGCTTTTTAGTGTCCCCGCGGCCCGGTCCTCGACCAGGCCTCCACCCCCAGGAAGCAGCCTGTGACAGCTGACTAACACCCAGGTACCTATTTTACTGCTAGGTAACAGGAGCATAGGGTGAAAGAAACTCTGCCCATTGTTTCTCGCCGGCGCCTGGGATCGAACCCAGGACCACAGGATCACAAGTCCAGCGTGCTGTCCGCTCGGCCGACCGGCTCCATAAGGGTAGCATAGGTTCCTCGCACAATGTTCTTAATGTGGTCCTCAGGTGACAGTTTTCTATCTAGAACTACCCCTAGATCCCTTTCTTTGTCAGAATTCTTTAAAGATTTCTCACAAAATTTATAGGTTGCGTGAGTTCTATGTTCTCCAATTCCACATTCCATAACATGGCATATATTCACATTAAATTCTATTTGCCAAGTGGAGCTCCATATACTTATTTTGTCCAGGTCTTCTTAACCCTTACGTTGCACAACCCATCATATGATGTGTTGAGTGACTTGCTATAAAATGTGCATCCCATCATATGATGTATTAGAGTACTACGCAAGATTTAAACGGCCCGCGGATACACAGGGTTCACCTCACCTTCATCAGGGCTCTTGTAAACAGACGACATTTAAAAAAAAATCGTGGGCCAAATTCCCGTGTGTGAGGGGCCTCAGTATTAAGTGAGCCACCAAGCCTAATGCACGCAGCATGAGCTCACAGCACTGCTGTTCAGCTTGTGACCACAGCATCGCCTAAAAATGCCATAATATACATGTTCATGCTATTATTTAGCGATGATATTATTACAGAAGACCCGACTGTGATAAAAATGACCAGGATTCTGATATTAGCAGGATTGTTGTGATAATTAGCGCTGTAGTGGGAGGAGTAATCTTAGTGGGGAGAGAGAGGTAGCATTGTCTGCTGACTTTGAGTGACCACCTTTTACTGTCTGGACTCACTATACCAGCTTAGTTGTTTGCTATGAACAAAACATGCAGATACTTATATATATCATCTGTATATAAAAGCAAAAACAGTATGGTGGGAGGAGAATGGTGGCGCGTCAGGTGAGGTGAGGGAGGGAGAAAGTAGCAGCCAGTGGCGGGCTGCCACTGCCACTCAGCATACCAAATTAGTAGTTCGTTATGGTGAACACGAATATAGATACTTATATATAACGTCTGTATATAGTGAAAAAAAAGCTTAACAGTATGGTGGGAGGAGAATGTGGGCGAGTGAGGTGCTGAGGGAGTGAGTGGCAGCGAGTAGCTGGCTGGTGTGTGGCAGTCACTTCTTGTTGCTTTTTAACTCATAATACCAACTTAGTGGTTCGTTATGGTGAACAAAACATGCAGATACTTATATATAACCTGTGTATATAGTGTAATAACCGACAAATTATTTGTTCACTGTTTGATGAACATAATAATTGAATCAACAATATGCACACCATAATATTGAGCACAGCAATGATTCGGAGTGATAGCCTAGCACTGTTAAATGATTATTTACTATTGAATATTATGTGGTAGAGTTATGCTTGATTATGAAGCTTCTTAATTCCTTGTGAAACAAATTAATGTGTTAAAATAAAAACATGGCTATTTGAATTGTTCGAGTAGAGCAACATTGATTTGTTGAGGACCGAGAGTGGCTGTTTACTTTTGACATGGAATGAGGCTAGAACGGGAATGTTATTATTTTGTATGTGTATACTTTTCTCAGCAATGTTATTAATTTGAAACACTGTTTCTGTTATGCCTCTATTTAATGTATGCCATGCTTTGACCTATATGGAAGCCTTTAATAGTAATACTGTACATTAATAACTAAGTAAAGAAAATTCAAGGTTGAAGATATTGGGGATCATAGCCTCAAATTGCTTGAGGGTTACATTAGAAGTGTTGGATGTTGGAGAAGTCAATTCCTTTGGCACTGGACAAAAAGTGACTACCCCAATTGTTTTATGGAACAGTGTGGCCTGTTTGCCATGACTGTGATTGCTATGGGTACTCATCTTCTTAGCACCTCATGTTCTACTTTACCACTCTCCAGGGACAGTGTGAATGTCAGGCAACTCCCTCGGGGAGGAGTTGCTAAGGTCCCTGTGTGTTTCTCTGGTGCACATGGGGTTAAGTGTTGACTTTGATAGGGGGATTAGAGGAGCGTGTGGGAAGAGAAGAGGCGTTCTCCTACTTTTCCCCCATAATAACAGGAATTGGGGCCACTGTCCGGAAACAGCAGGCTTCTCTCTTTTCCCTGTAACATTGTCTCCAACAAGAGGAAATATTGTCATCAAGGAACCTTCAGGAGAAAATACAAGCATACCTCAGGTACAGTTACAGATGTATAGCTGCTGTACGTCTCTGACGACCCAGAGTTGCTGTAAGGGGTGGAGTAAGACGAGTCGGCAGCATCTGTAGATGAATCCACAAGTGTTGTCCACATGTCCACTTCAAATGGATCAACTTCCCTGGGCTCAGAAGGAAGGACAGTGGGTTGAGTTTCTTCTTCAACCACTGACAGGTATTCTCTTGTAGGCAAAGCTACTGTGTCCACCGTTTCTTCAACCCATTGACTATCTGCCAATAAAATAATCAAGATCACTTACAGATAAATAGCATTTTATGCCATCTTAGAAAAGAATTTTGTTTACAGTTCAATACATAAGCCAAACATATATTTATCAACCAATATACTGAGTACCATAAACAAAGCAGAAAATAAGAATTTTGAGAATGGTACATACAGGTAGATTGAGAGTTCAATACAGTGATACCTTGGCACTTGAACGACTCAGAACTGGAACAATTCGGCACTCGAACACCTTATTTGAGAAAAAAACACTCAGTAGTCGACTGTTTGCCTGGCACTCAACCATACAAACGCAGGTCACAACACACGGCAGCTGAAGAATTGTCTTCAGAGGAGGAGGGAAGGGAGGATGTCCCTAGATGTGGCAAACCGTGTTATAAACCTGTTGAATGACAATGCTGTGTCTCACTTTAGAAACAGTTTAAAATGCAGGTAAAAACAAATATCATTGAACAGGTGTATTCCCTGCCAAACAGTAACATCTCTCCTCCTCACCACCTTCCACATATGTCATCAACTCTCCTAAGTACTGGTAAAGTTAAAATAAATTTTCATTTATTTCATCTATATATTGTGTTTAGGCTTTCTGTATGATTTATGAATGCTAGGCTTACAAACTTTGGAGGTAAATTAAAGTAAAAATGCTTTTAATAGTGTATCTTTTCTGGGTCTGGAATGGATTAATCCAATTTACATTATTCCTCATGGGAAAAATTATTTGGTACTCGAACATATCAGCAATCGAACTGCCTTCTGGAAATAATTAAGTTTGAGTACCGAGGTATCACTGTACATGAAATAACAACAGGAGTGTAATTGGAAAATCTTCTCTCCTATAAGACAAATTTTTTCCCCAATCAATCCAGTGAATTAAAAAAAAGAAAAAACAGCGTTGACTGTAATGAAACGCCATTTTCTGGGTGAAGCCTGGAGGCTCACCAGAGCTATCTGGGCTGATATGAATATATCAGACTGTGGCATCAGTCAGGCAAATGGAGTTCATAGGCCTACCGGGGACCACGAACCAGACTTGGTCCTCAAAGAGGCACAAGGAGTAATGGCCTATAGAAACCCCCGTGTGGTTGGAACTACTCTATGTCTGCCATCAACCGGGTCAGGCACCCAGAAAGGTAGGCACCCCAAAACAAACCCTATCTGGTTAAAAATTGCCACTGAAAGCTGAAATGTTGGACAGAACTCCCCAAACTAAAAACAAGCAAATGAGCATGACGTCACAACCGTTATCATGCCGCTGTCTGCGCAGCTCCCCGCCTCTCTCCAGGAGGGGGAAGGGAGAGCTCCAGAGCCTCCACACCGGCTATCCACTACCAGTTCAGAGGCTGCATATCAAAACTGCAAAAACTGCCGACCAGAGGGAAGTAGGGTTGCCGGGGAGCCTCCGAGTCTCATTCAAAAAATGGCATTTCATTACATTCAACGCTGGTTTTCTGGCGGGAGCCTCTTCGGCTTTACGGATTTACTTAAAGATAAAAAAGAGGGACTTACCTGGGATGCGGTCGCCACTTGCTCCTCAATTCGAAGTCGAGACAACTGGCTGCAACCGCCGATCTAATGCGTCACGCCCGACTAGGGCCAGGTACATTAACTAGGTAGCGAGCGGCCAGGACCCTGTTCGACCTCCAAAAACCCCATGCCTGAATGTCAGCCCAAGACATATTAGCGAAGACGGCAGCCAATTAATGCAGAAAACTTACGAATGTCATGGGCACAAGGATAGACCGCCGGCTGGCTGAACAGAATAATCCTGCAGATAACCTGGTAGACCCCGCGCCCTGGAACAGGGAAGAAGTGAAACCAGGACAACCAAAAAAGCGTCCCCGGCTACCGAGCCCGTGGCACGCAGATAACAGCAAAGAGCCACAACCGGACACAACACATGATGCCAATGTCAACAGGAAATTAGCCTTCGAAAAAAAATATTGAACTGAAAGGGGCCACAACAAACCAAGGAGAAGAGACAAAAAAGAAAATCATAGGGAAAATCATCCCGGTCCAATGACCAGGATGGCTCAGGAAGCGCATGAGCAGGCTGGAGGTGAAACAAAGCACAAAACAGCTTGCAGTAACATCCATCCAGAATGCAAGCTGAAGCGGCTCCGCCAGCGCCGCACGATACGAGGCGACAGTATTCGGCATAAGATGACGGTCCTGAAACAACCAAGAAAGGAAGGATATGACAACCAGATCTGAAACTGAAGAAAACCAACGGGACAAAAATAATGAAAGGACCGCCAGGAAACTTCATACTGCCGCCAAGACAAAGCATGCAGGTGGAACACCATCATCAAAGCCACCTGCTCATCATACAAATGGTGATGACTTGCGTCAGAATGACCATACACAAAGACTTGAGGAGAAAATCGAACCAGCTACATAACAGACTGGCCCAATCTGCTGAAAGAGGCTTGGCCACGGGAAGACCCCTGGGTGTGGGCACCAAGCAAGCAGCACTTGAAAATTCACTAAGAAAATTCACTTTCGCAAACAGAGTGGTAGATGGTTGGAACAAGTTAGGGAAGAAGGTGGTGGAGGCCAAGACCATCAGTAGTTTCAAAGCGTTATATGACAAAGAGTGCTGGGAAGACGGGACACCACGAGCGTAGCTCTCATCCTGTAACTACACTTAGGTAATTACACTTAGGTAATTACTTGAAACCAAGGCTGGGCTGGCTACCAAGGGACCAACAGGACTACTCTCCCTTGATAAGTCTCCAAGCGAGCCAGGACCTGGAGCAACAGGGGAACCATGAGGAAGAGGTACAGATAACCCCACCTTGACCAGTCCTGCCTGAAGGCATCGACCCTGACGGCCTTGCAGTCGGGGAAGGGCGCCACATAATTCATGAAACGTCTCGACCACGCTGAGGCTAAACAGTTTGGCAGAGCCAACTAAACAAGTCGACATCAACAATCCATTCCGTGGACAGGGAAGTGAAATGTGACAGGCTGCCCGCCAGGATTTTGGACACCTCCCCCACCCCCCGAAAGTGAATGGGCAGGAAAGCCAAACCCCGAGAACACAGCAAACGAGTCACCCGAAGTGACCAGCCCAAAAAAACAAGGACCACATTGAACCCCTGCAGTTCAGGCAATGAACCACCATTGGGAGCAGTCCGAATAGAGCCGGATCATCAAACCTCGATCAACCAGAACCCTCTGAATCAACATCCTCACAGCAGCGAACTCCCACACGATGCTGCGGGCCCGACAGGAGAGTGATCCCCACCGCCCCTGGCCGGCCTGGTAAGCACTGATCACAAAGCCCCAGCCAAGAGACGTTGCGTCCATGAACACATTGAGCGAAGGCTTGGGTAGACGCCAAGGCACTGGCGTAGGGGTTCCCCACAGAAAAGAGCCATAGAAAAACAAAACGGAACCAAAGGGACCACAACAAACCGATGAGGTGAGAGAAAAAGGAGCACCCAGACCAAAGACCAGGATGGCTCAGGCGGTGCAAGAGCATGCTGGAGATGAAAACGCACAGGACAGCTTGCGGAATGGAACAGAAGTAACATCAATACTCAACACAAGCTGCAGCGGCTTCACCAGCAACGCACAATACAAGGTGACAGTATTCAGCACAAGATGACGGTCCTGGAACAACCATGAAAGGAAGGACAAAACAACCCTCTCAAGAGATCAAAGGACACCTGCACAGTGATTGGAAAAACCGGAAGGACTGCCAGGAAAGTTCATACTGCTGCCGAGATGAAGCATGCGGGTGGGAAACCAACAACGAAGCTACCTGTGCCCCATACAAGTGAAGATCGACCGAGTCAGAAACTCCAGACACAAAGACTCGAGGAGAAGAACGAACCAGCCACGTACCAGCCTGGACCGATCCACTGAAAGACGCAGAGTTGCTGGAAGACCCCCTACCCCTCAAGTTTGGACACCGAGCAAGCAGTGCTTGAAACCAAGGCTGGGCCGGCCACCAAGGAGCCAGAAGGACAACTCTTCCCTGGGAAGTCTCCAAGCGAGCCAGGACCTGGAGCAACAGCTGAACCGGGGAAAAGAGGGACAGTATAGGTAACACCACCTTGCCTAGTCCTGCCTGAAGGGGTTGACCCTGAAGAACCAGAACAGCCGATGAAGCCACACCCCACCCAGCAGTTAGCCCATTATGGCAAAGTTCAGGCTCCCGCACATAGCTTCGGGCAATCGCCTCGTGACCCTGGGGCCCTTCAGAAACAGACGAAGGTCGGAACGCATGCAAAGCAGAGCCGACGGAGGAAGAGACAGGGAAGCGGTCAGAGCGTCCCACACAAGACCCAGCCAAGACCGAACCTGAGAGGGAACCAGATGGGACTGCCACTAGGTCACTAAGAACCTGAACCCGGCGAACTGGGAAGACCCAAATTCCTGGCGAGCAGATACGCGGACTGGCCGGGAACCCAAACCAGCCAGTCGTTGAGGTAGGAAAGAACCCGAACACCTAACAGACGTAAGCAGGCTGTACGACCTGAATAAGGCGTGTGAGAAACGCGAGGCACCAGACCAAAAGGAAGGCAACAGAAGCGGAAACCCTGATGTCCCACAACAAAACCGAGCCAGTCCCTGAACCCCGGATGAATTGGGACAAACCAATACGCATCCCTGAGGTCCAGGGACACCATCCAAGCATTCGACTCCAACAGAAGATTGACCAGGGACAATAGTCATCCGAAAGGAGGGGCAATAAACCCACGTGTTCAGACGGGGACAAGTTCAGAATGAATCGGAGGTCCGCACAGTCTCGTTTCGGGACCGGAAACAGGTAGGAACCCACCTGAGAGACAAGGTCATTTCGACCATGCCCAAGTGAAACTAGGATGACTCCAGAACGTTATAACAAATCCAGAAAGAACATGAAGATCCATACACGAAGAAATGCAGAACCATCAGGAAAGCATAATCTGGGTCACGCAGGAGGTAAGCCTCAAAGGCTTCCCGCACCACATGGGATGGGACGCAAGAAGCTGAAAACCTCGGGAAGGGCGGAACCGACGGGGTTACGGAACTGAACCCAAAGAGGGGTAGACGCTAAATCCAATTCGTACGAGGAAGGAGCAAAAGAGAACCCCACTCCTTGTAACACAAAGCCCCGCTCAGAGGGTAGAAAAACCCAGGGGGAGTCCAACGAGGCCCAAGGCCCCCCAAGTCAACCCCCCCTTCCCGGGAACCTCACCCCAAAGATCCAGGGCCAAGCTGTCCTCCAAACCCCCTGCCTCTAAAGAAAAGGCAGGAGCAGCCGAAAAAGCAGGAACAACGAGGGCCCATTGGCCAGACCCAGAAGCTCCGGCTGGAGAACCAGGCTCGAATGCCTCCGCCGCCACCTCGGAAGGGGAATCCTCTGAGAACCACCCGAATCTCAGCTCCAACTAGACCCTGCCCCGACTCGAAAACCCCAGACGTTTCAGAGTCGGAAGCAGGGGGGGGGGGAAGAACCGGATAATCAACAGAAGGAAAAGGACATGGTGGGGCGGACGGAACTAAAGTCAAAGCGACGCCCACCCTCAGGTCCAGGTCCCTAAAACCAAAACGGGGCTGTCTCGGGGCATCCGGGGAAGTGACCAACCTGCACCCTCATATCATGATCAGTAGCTTGGGTGAACTGGAGCACATACAAACAACAAACAACGCACTACTCCGGGGCAATATAATCACCGACCCTACAGGCAGCATGGCGGAGGCACAACTGGTGAATGTCACCCTGAGACAAGGGGACAGAACAACCATCAACCTCACATGAAGCGAGAGGCTTCTTGATGGATGTGATTCAAGGGTCACATCCATCAAACCACGGAGCCCCTACGGGGTTTCCCCGGGCCATATGTTTGCCTTGGTAACACGCTAAGGTAAGCCCAGGCAGGGTACTGCGAACCGGCATCCAAAACTACCAAGCAAACTTCTAAACCCTGAACCTTCGGGAAGTGTCCACTCACGGGGCCTAGCAGGAAGTACCCCCAAGAACACGAAAATATCTATCGAAAGACCCCAAAGATAGAGAGGGGGCAACCAACCAAAAACAAACCCCCTCCCCCACCAGGCAGAAAAACAAAAACAAAAGAAAAACCCGCAAGAGGACAACGTATTTAGACAGAACAGAACGGGCCGCTATAAGGGGTGATAACTAGCTGTGCAGTATCATGCGCCCCTACCGGTGACGAAAACTACCTCCTACCCAGAGGCAAACAAGGGCAACAGAAACCCCCAGCTGACTCCAAGGGCGGCCAAGTACTGAGCAGTAAAATACACAGCGGAGGTAGATCCCAAGGCAACTTGTGGAAGGTGGCCCCCAAGCCCCACGGGCAGTACTTACAGGGCACCTAGTGAAGGAAACCCTAGGTGCATGCAGCCTGAGTACTGTACAATATTACTCCTGGCTCACACACCACTTTTAGAAACAGCCCATGCCACAAGGCACAGAAATTGAAACCAAAGCAGGAGCCAGAGGCACATAACCTGCCAATATCACATCAGCCAAGAACTGATGGTTGGATGGCTGGCACAAGGGTCTGGGGCTCCCCCCTTCCCCCTTCTGGGAAGAGAGGGGGGAAAGTTGCGCAGACAACGGTGCGGCAATGTGATGACATCATGCTCATTTGCTAATTTTTGTTTGGGGAGTTCTGTCCACTCATTTGGCTTTTGGTAGCAATATTTTCACCAGAAGTGGAGTTTGTTTTGGGGCGCCTACCTCTCTTGAGTGCCAGACCCGGTAGATGGCAGACATAGAATGCTCCCAACCACACGGGGGTTTCTATAGGGAATTGCTCCTCGTGCCTCTCTGAAGGGGCCAGGTTCTGGCTCGTGGTCCTCGGTAGGGAAGAACTCCATGCATTTTGACTGATGCCAGAAAGCTAATAATGCCATATCAGCCTGGATAGCTTCGGGGAGCCGACAGGGCTCCTCCCCAGAAAATAAAGCTAAAAATACAAACTTTAATATTCCTAGGACTAGTATAGCACATACAGAATATGTACTATAATAGGCCTCAGATAAATGTATTAGGCCTATGAAGGTTAGGCTTGTTTAAGTTTTCTTTGCAAAATCACTACAAAATCTTTTCCAGTTTGTTCAAATTCAATAGCACCAATTCCTACTCTCTAACTGCCTTTTTAAGTCAATATATGTACGATGGTCCTCATCATTACTATAAATACTGTACTACCTAAACAGGAGGATGGGCTGAAATTTGTACAAATCTTTTGTTTTATTAGTTTGCATAGAGAGGAACTAGGTTAAAATCTTATATACAGTACAGTACAGCATTTGAAGCCTACATTTTGCATACAGTAACCATACAAGCTTTCATTCTTCTATGATTTTACCTCGCAAGGAACCAGAAATTGTGAGTAGAATATTATAAGATTAAAAGTTGAAAGTGCCTCACTAACCTTAAAGAATTAGAAATAGTTAAATGTCTCTATCCATGCTTTAGTGATAACAAAATTTAAAAGCAGTAGTTCAAAATATAGGTTAATCATAGTTTAATTAAAGCATTAGATTAAAAATTGTTTTAAAGATATAAAAAGCAATTTACTGGAGGAGAAGCAAATGAAGTTTGAACCCATATTCTTAATTAGGGAGCATTATCATTATCCATTCACCAGAAGACTAAATCCCTGCTACTACTACTTCAACAACAACAACAGTAAGAGATATCCCCAGCACCATCATTATGTGTTAAGGTCTTACTTGAAGTGGTTAAAGCCTCTTCTGTAACTGTAGTTGAAGGGTCACTTGTTTCCCCAGAGGTAGGAGTCTGTCCGATGGTTGTTCTGGTGGTCTTTGCTGTAGTAGTTGGAGTCCTAGTTGCTGAACCATTCATTCTGTTGTTTGCTCCTGAAGAAGTCCCTTTTGTCTGTGCTTTTGAAAATTTTGAATTGGGCTTTATTCTTTCAGTGGTGGGTGCTTGCTGTTTCAAGTCACCATAATCTGGCTCCATGGTCACTTTCATTGCCCGGGAATTGAGCTCATCTCTTTCCTTTAAAGCTAACTTGGAGCTTTTGGAGTTTAAAGTATTTGAGCGGGATGGATTTTGGTACCTGGCTGTCCGAGCGCTAGGTGGTGATGGGTGTCGGTACTGGTGGTGTCGCTTCGGCATCTCATCGAACATTTCTTCGTATAAATCATTTAGTAATTCTGATCTCAATACATTGTAGTGGCGCTGGTTGCCATACATGCGTTTCATTAGACCTTGGTTTTCGTAAACAAAACGGCGAACAGCACTCCTGTCAAAGGAATAGACAAAAAATAAAAAATAAAAAATAAAAATGTAAAAAATATAATAGAAAACAGTACAATCTACAAAATCCAACCCTTGTCATTACAAAGATCTCCAAGATCCCCAAACAACGTACATGTTTCCCTATTGGATTGCCTATGCAAAATTCCAATTTGATTCAGATTCACATAAGTATTTGCTGATTCACTACTAAATTCTGATAGACTTTGTATAGTAATTTAATAATTTTCAACTGATCACATTTGTTCACTATTTTCACTGGATTTGTGCTTCTGAAAGTAAATCATATTTGAAAAATATTTATATTTTTTTAAGAAAATTTTAAAGTGCTTTTACTGGACTCAAAATTGCCCAAAAACCCTGTGTTGAATGGAATAAAAAATTTCCGTCTGGTGGGTCCTTCAGGGCTCTTTATTACTTTGTGCTTGGTTAGTTCCACCCAATTCAAATCACATCAGGCTGTTGCAAATCTTAAAACTCTACTAGTGATTTGTGGGCAAAACCTGGTCCCCTTACAGAGACGTAAGAAGCAGAGTACTCAAGACCATACCTTCTGAAGAAATAGCCACTAGAAAGGTAGGATGAAACTATACAGACAAAAGAAAGATGAAATAAACCAGCGTTGAATATAATGAAACGCCATTTTCTGGGTGAGTCCCAGAGGCTCCCCGGAACAAGCCAGGTTGATAGGGATAGTCCTAACTTTTGGCATCAGTCGATTTGGGTGGAGTTCTGACCTACCGGGTACCATGGTCAAAACCTAGCTCCCTCAGAGAGGCACGATGAGCAATGGCCTATAGAAATGCACATGTGAGTTCGGAACATTCTATATCTGCCATCAACCGGGACAGGCACCCAGAAAGGTAAGTGCCTCAAAAAAAAACCCAATTCTGGTAAAACCAATGAAAATAACGAAACAAATGGACAGAATTCCCCCAAGAGAAAACAAGCAAACAAGCATTACATCACTCGAGCCACGCCGCATGTCTGCGCAACTTCCCCCTCCCCGATAGGGGGGAAAGGGGTGAGTCCCAGACCCTCGCGCCACACCTCCAGTTCCAAGGCTGGATGTCAAAATACGCGAAACTGTCGACCGGAGGGAGGGAGGGAGGATTGCTGGGGAGCCTCCGGGACTCGCCCAGAAAATGGAGTTTCATTACATTCAACGCTGGTTTTCTGGGGGGGGAACCACTACAGTTCCCCCGGAGGTACTTCACCAAAGACTAAGGAAAAAAGGGGACTTGCCCTGGAGGCGGTCGGTGCTCCACACCTCAACTCGAAGTCGAGAAAGGCTGCAGCTGCCGACCCAAAGCGACACAAGCCCCGATTAGGCCCAGGAAAGTTCACGAGGTAGCGTGCAGCCAGGACCCTGTTCGACCACCAAAAACCCCATGCCCAAATGTCAGCCCAGGACATGTTCCCCAAAACAGCAGCAAGAGCAGCGAACTTATGAACATCCAGATTGCAGATCTCTAGTGCTATTATGTCAACGTCTCGTGGATTGGCAATCATTATTTCATTTACCTTTAGGTGTTCTTTCACCAGCACAGCAATGCCACCACCTTTCCTAATTTTTCTGTCCGGTCTCCAGACTGAGTAGCCCCTTGGGAATATAACCTCATTTAAAATGTCATCCTCAAGTTTTGTCTCTGTAAGTGCAACAATGTCTGGTGTCTACAACTGTTACATGATGTAATGCTGTCTGCATTACATCACTTAACTCCAGTATCTTTGATCTCACTCCATTTATGTTGGTGTATGCAATTTTCAGGACCATGTTCCCCCTCTCCTTATTCTTCACTACCCTTTTCTCTAGTGATTTTGTTGGTTTGCCTTTATGTACCACTTTACTGGCCTGCCTACCCTTATCACTTTGTAGAAAAAATAATTGATTTCTTCTTCATTCCTGCTCTCATTTAGCCGGTTTGCCTCGATGAGGTTTATTTAAGCTTCTCTCTGTCTGTCTTTTGAAAGATCTCGTCTTAGCAACCATACTTTCCCTTCCTCATCACTTTGTAATTTTCTAGCATTCCTTAGTACTTCTTCCATCTGTTTGGCACCATTTAGGGTGATCCTCAAAGGTCAATCTTTCCCTTTTACGTATTTTCCAATCCTCCTGTAGTCGCAGACATTCTCAATGGTAGTAAGACCTTCCATGAGGCCAACAATTTTATCAACAACTTTTGCTTCTTCTACAACTCTTTCTGACCTAGATGTTATCTCCTTTTCTTTGCAACCAAAAATTATCAGGGACTTACTTCGATCAAATGTGTTTTCACCAACTTTGGGTTAGATGCCAGTTCTTTTCTCACTTCCAGCCTAATGTTTGTTTTATCTTGGTTGCTGCAGTGTTTGACTTCCTTTATTGTGTCTCCTATTTTTTCCTTCTTCTTGGCCGCTTGTGCATAGGTGAGTTGCATATCTTTGCATAGAATTTCCGGATTACGAACAGTCTCTAGGAATGGATTAAATTCGAAAACAAAGGTCTGTATAGTCTAAAGAAATCTAGTAATGGGGGCTTATGAGAGTACATAGCATTGATGTTTTTTACATTCTTGCAAAGGCACTAACACACAGCGTTTCAAGCAGATCCTTAATCTAACAGATAATTTTAAGTAGGTAATTTGTAGCAAAATTTGAAGAAAATTAGTAGGTACATTGTAGTAAAATTTGAGGATTATATTAGGTACTGTACATTGTAGCATAATTTGAGGTTTATTAATAGGTACATTGTAGCAAAATTAGTATTCAACATAACTATGATACAAATTGATAGTAGTGATTACAATGGTGAGGTTGCATGTCTTAGGCACATATATTGGGGAAATGTAGCACAAGATACAGTGCGAGTTTAAAGCACTAGGTTGGAAACTGAGGATAAAATTATCCTCCAGCTCTCTGCACCTCTTTAGAGGATTTTGACTTTTGGTCTCAGGTAGGCTTATAATGACTTCCAAGGGCCTGGTGTGTGGATTGAATTGGGTGGAGCCATCCAGGTAGCTAGAACCAGGCAGCATCCTAGAAACATGAAATTTCTAAATACTTGGTGAGGCTTATTACAATTTTGTCACCATATTCCTGCCATGACTCAACTTACCTTGATACCACCCCACTCAGCTAAAGCTTCTCAATTTTCTGCCACTCCCTTGAGCTTCAAATCCAATCAGATAAACGAGCTTGCCTTGATATCCATAAAATTAGACTCCATTTGAGAAGAAATTAACTAATACACTTACAAAGTTCCCTGGCCAAAGAAACCTTGCATTCTTCCTGTGTCTGATGATAGTAGCATGTGTGGCACCTTACCTTGAGGTTACCTTGAGGTGATTCCGGGGCTTAGCGACCCTGCAGCCCGGTCGTCGACCTGGCCTCTTCGTTGCTGGACTGGTCAACCAGGCTGTCGGATGCGGCTGCTCGCAGCCTGACATATGAGTCACAGCCTGGTTGATCAGGTATCCTTTAGAGGTGTTTGTCAAGTTCTCTCTTAAACACTGTGAGGGGTCGGCCAGTTATGCCCCTTATGTGTAGTGGAAGCGTGTTGAACAGTCTCGGGCCTCTGATGTTGATAGAGCTCTCTCTCAGAGTACCTGTTGCACCTCTGCTCTTCAAAGGTGCACATCCTGCCATGCCTTCTGGTCTCATGTGATGTTATTTCTGTGTGTAGGTTAGGTAGAGAAATAGAAACAATTGAACGGAAGCTACAAGAATCATACAAAACCCTGGAGAGGCAAAGAGAGCAAAAGGCCATCAGTGAAATAGAGAGAAATCTGAAATATTTTTTCTCCTATGCAAAATCAAGATAAAAAACCACATCTAGTATCGGGCCCCTGCGAAAGGGAGATGGAACTTTCACCGATGACAACAAAGAAATGAGCGAGCTACTGAGGAAGCAGTACGACTCTGTTTTCAGCGAGCCATTAAACACACTAAAGATTGATAACCCAAATGAATTTTTCATGGATATGATACCAACATCAAATCATATATCGGACGTCACCCTATCCCCACTGGATTTTGAAGAAGCCATAAACAGTATGCCTATGCACTCTGCACCAGGCCCGGATTCTTGGAACTCCATATTCATGAAGAACTGTAAAAAACCACTATCGCAGGCCCTCCACATTTTGTGGAGACAAAGCCTACATACTGGCGTTATTCCTGATATACTAAAAACAACAGAGATAGCACCACTTCATAAAGGAGGAAATAAGGCAGAGGCAAAAAATTACAGACCGATAGCACTAACATCGCACATCATAAAAATTTTTGAGAGAGTGCTAAGAAGTAAGATCACAAAATACATGGAATCACAGCATCTCCATAACCCCGGACAACATGGTTTCAGAACAGGGCGCTCTTGCCTATCGCAGTTGCTGGACCACTATGATATGGCATTAGATGCTTTGGAAGACAAACAAAACGCTGATGTAATTTACACAGATTTCGCAAAAGCTTTTGATAAATGTGACCATGGTGTTATTGCACATAAAATGTGTTCAAAAGGAATTACCGGAAAAATAGGCAGATGGATCTACAATTTCCTGACCAACAGAACCCAATGTGTAATAGTCAACAAAATAAAATCCAGCCCATCAACCGTGAAGAGCTCAGTCCCCCAGGGTACTGTGCTTGCTCCAGTACTTTTTCTCATCCTCATATCGGACATAGACAAGAACACAACCTATAGCACTGTATCATCCTTTGCAGATGACACTAGGATCTTTGTTACGAACCCGGATCCAGCGTCCGAGCACGGAGCAGTGACAACCGCGCCATCTGTGGGTCGGCTCCCGAAACCCCCACCAAATGGACGACGACACCTGGTGAGGACAAGGTGTACTGGCCACAAGGGCCAGTTTCCAGTCCTGTTCAGCACACAACACCGCCGCTGCTGACCTCTGGTGAGGTGGTGCTCAGACTACAACGCCATCTATGGAGTGGATATGTCGGGCGTTTGTGTCTGAGCCTGTAAGTGAGGTGTTTTAG